TCAACACCACAATTCAAATCCATCAATTCTTCTCCTGTCTTCCTTATTCATTGCCCAACTTTCACAAGCATCTGAGGCAATTGAAATACCTTGGGTTGGGAGCCCCTTACTCTTCAAACTGACATCTTTGCTCTTTAGCACTTTAAAGAGGTCTTGTGTAGCAGATTTGGCTAATGCAATATGTCTATTTCTTGACTGCTGCGTCCATGAATGTTGATTGTGGATCCAAACAATGCTGTTTCCATGATTATTGATTGTGGATCCAAGCACAACTTCAATCTTTTCTCCATTTTTCATGATGCTGCTTCTTGGTCCAGTTGTAAGGATTTATGTTTTCTTTACATTTAGGTGCAATTTATACTAACAGCTGTAATCTGATCCATAAGTATTTCAAGTCTTCTTTCCTTCCAGTAAGCAAGGTTGTGTCATCTGCATATCACAGGTTAATAATGACTTTTCCTCCAATCCTGAAGCCATGTTTATCTTCATATAGTCTAGTTTCTCAGATTACTTGCTCATCATACAGATTAAATAAGTATGGTGAAAGGATGTAACTCTGGTGCACACGTTTCCTGATTTTAAACCATTCAGTATCCCCTTGCTCTATTTGAGCAACTGCCTCTTGGTCAATGTACATGTTTCTTATAAGCACAGTTAAGCATTCTGTAATATCCATTATTCGCAATGTTGTCCCTAGTTTGTTACAATTCACACCATTAAATTCCTTTGCATAGTCAATAAAACACACATAAACATCTTTCTGGAATTCTTTGCTTTCAGCCAGGATCCATCTGATGTCAGCAATGATATTCCCAGTTTCTTGTCTTCTTCTGAATCTGAATTGAATTTCTGTTAGCTCCCTGTAGAGGTATTGCTGCAACCATTTTTTAATTATCTTCAGCAAAATATTACTTGATTGTAATATTGGTGTACTGTTTGATAACTTCTGAAATTTGTTGGGTTATCTTTCTTTGGAGTGAGTACAAATATGGATATTTTCCAATCAATTGGCCAAGTTGCTGTTTTCCAAATTTCTTGGCATAGACGAATGAATGCCTTCAGGGCTGCATCAGTTTGTTGAAACATTTCTATTGGTATTCTGTCAGTTCCTGAAGCTTTGTTTTTTGCCAGTGTAGTGCATATTAGATATCATCCTCAATATCATTGTTTTTTGAACATATGGTAGGTACCTCCTGAAATGGTTGAACATTATCCAATTCTTTTTGACACAGTGACAGTGTATTACTTCCATCTTCTTTAGATTCTTCCTGCATCATTCAATATTTTGCCCATAGAATCCTTCAATATTTCAAATTGAGGCTTGAACTTTTTCTTCTGTTCTTTCAACTTGAGAAATGCTGTGTGTTCTTCCTTATGGTTTTCTAACTCCAGATTTGTCATTTCTTTATAATATTTGACTTTGTCTTCTTGAGCTACCCTTTGAGATTTTCTGTTCAGCTCTTTTACTCATCATTTCTTCCAGTCACTTTAGCTTTTCTATATTTGAGAGCAAGTTTTAGAGTCTCTTTTGATATCCATTTTGGTCTTTCCTTTCTTTCCTGTCTTTTTAGTGACCTTTTGCTTTCTTCATGGAAGATGTTCTTGATGCCTTCCCACAAATAAGCAACTGATGGTCTGTTCCACAGTCTGCTCCTGGATGTCTTTTGGCTGACAATATTGAGCTTCTCTATCATTACTTCCCACATATGTAGTCAACTTGATTCCTGTGCATTCCATCTGGTTAAGTCCATGTGTATAATTTTTGGTTATGTTGTTGAAATGTATTTGTAGTGAATAAGTCTTGTGAAATTCTATCATGTGATCTGCATAGTTTCAAACATCTAGACTATATTTTCCCAACTATAATCCTTCTTTATTTCCAACTTTTGCATTCCAATCGCATTATTAATGCATCTTGAGTGCACGTTTGATCAATTTCAGCCTGAAAATTTTGGTAGAATTCTTCAGTGTCATCATTATTGGCTTTAGTGGTTGATGTGCAGATTTGAATAACACCAGTTCATAGTGGTATTAACTGGTCTTCCTTATAGGAGTATGGGTATTATTCTATCACAAACAGCATTGTGCTTCAAGATAGATCTTGAAAACCTC